CACGCTAAACGCTCCCTTTCCCCCGCGTGGCTTAAACTGTAATACGAATTCCGTCGCGCATCTGAAGAAACCCTTGGCAACCGATCGCTCGTAAGTCAGCAGCTGGCTGGCTCCGTCTCGATACTTGGGATCAGAAATGAGCCAGCATTTGCGAGTGTCGTGATACAATATTGTTTTGTAACAGAAAAAAAAATACATAAAATAACGTGAACATAACGTGACAGATTTATGTTTTATTAGAAATCTTGGCTTGTGCCATTTTTCATAGTTTTTTGGAGCATAGACTATGTATGCATGTGTGCGTGCGTGCGTGTGTGCGTGCGTGTGTGTGTGTGTGTGTGTGTGTGTGTGTGTGTGTAGCATATGTAATTAATATTTGTATGCAACTATTTTTTATTAGATTAAAAAAAGTTCTGTTTCTTTTTTTATTAAGGAAATTTAGAGACAAGTTTTATATGAGAAATGAGACTTTATTACTTAGCAAGTTAGTTGACCGTTTCTTCGACTACTTTCTGCCATCTCTCAGATAGCCTAATTATTCCGTCCTCATTGAGCACATAATCACATTACGCTTAACAACATTCGCAAAAAAAAACCAAGTTCAATTTGATATACAGAAAAAAACTGGTTCTCGTCGAGCTTGCTTCGACATCTAAAATTACGAAATTAACGAATCATGAATGTCAACGCGATAAGAGTCGACTATAATACGACAATTAATTATAAGTATAATATATTAATTAATTCCGATCCACATTTGTTAAATATCACGCGTATAACATTATAAAATAACATTATAAAATAATTATGAGATCTTTCCAATGAGATGGCTGGGGTGAAATGTATTTACTGTTTAATTATGTTAAAAAATATTTAATCTAATACTTCGGTAAATGTTATTTAAGATAATTAATATCGATACGTAATTAATATCCGAATGCCATTTAGATTACGCTCCTTCAAACTCGTAATCAACGATCTCATCGATGTACGAGCGCTGTGCTACTTCGGTATTTGCAGGCGGCGTTCTGCGCGGATGCAAAGTTCCGGATGCTTAGGGTTTAACATTTTCATGGAACTTCATTTGAGACGCTTGCCGCTCCAGTTTCCGCTTTTACTGCGTCGTAAGTACGGATGCCTCGAACCGAACGAACTTCGGCGAGTAGGCCGTAACGACATAATGCGGCCTAATAGCGCAACAGTTTGATAAGAGTTTCGGGTTGAAGAGCTATTTTCGAGCTATTTTCGACGTTCCGTTCGAAGCGAACCTCATAGCAGCCATCCCTCATTCACGCAGGAGCAGAAGCTAACTTTGCTGGTTTCATTCAGAAGCGTTATGACTTGCAACAGTAGATTACATATATAACGTTCGCGATAACGTTCCGCTCTCCAAAAGCGAGAGCTTTTAAAGACCGAGTAATTAGAGGAGTACGCGAGAGGAGAGCGAGCAATTAAACGAAACGGGGGGGAACGAAATTCCAATTCCTGATATGCGAATTCGCTCGCGTTGCTCCGCGTAGTTCTCGTGTTAGACACGAGTTTGTGTTACATCTCGTTCGTTTGAGTCGTATACGCGTAACCGACGACGTGCACGCACGTCCTCGCATTTCCGAGCAGCCGCGCTGATGTAAAAAGCCGCGAGATCGCGAGATCGAAATAATTACGCGACAAGGAGCGGAAGTGCGATCTCGATGCCGATGCAACGAGACGTAACTCGACGCCGATGCAACGATGAAGCGTCCCTTTGTATCTGCAGCGTGGTGCGGATACTCTCACAGACACTTACACGATCGCATGCCATCGGTAATCACGGTACGTCGGACGCGCCACGCCGGTCGTGTCGCCTGTCCGTTTCGAGGCTGTGTGCTATATGCGGGACTTCTTTCAGTGATCCTTAACGTGATCGCATGAGTGGGCACGGGGACGATCTCCGTATACGTTACGTACATAATCGGATAACGGGCCTGACAGCGGCGAGAGTGGATCAACCCTTTTCATGTAACGACCGTTTTTTTTTCCGTTTTCGGGTCGCCGTTGGGTCGTTTAACGAACGAAAGCCCGAGAGACATCTGCGATAATATGAAATCCAAAAGGAGAAAGAGAGAAAGGAGGAAAGCTTAGAAATAATTTCCGAGATCCTTCCAAGATCGCGCATGAGCACGTCACGTGTCGCCTTTCAATAAGGAGATAGCGACCTTTCCGGTAGTTTCCGTAACGCTTTCAAATTTACTCGCTTATAATACGTTTATGAGCTAATGAAATGGGAATATTACTTGAAAGTAATACAGCACCGTAAGGGATGCTGGTATCCCCGGGCGACGCTTTATTTTGAAATCGGGAGTTCGCGGTAAAAACGTGCGGAAACTCGCGCAGCAGATACCAGGCAGTATTAATTAGCACTTTCTCGACAAATAGGGCAAAGGTTCGTGTTCCGCTCTTGCGGGCCTGAGCGCATCGGGAAATGCGGTTTCTCCAATTCGCCATAATCAGAAAATCGGAAATCTATTTATCTTTCGCGTTTGTTTTGCTTGCGTCGAGCGCGCTCGTTTGCATAAAAGCGCGTTTAATTGATTGCCAGGGTCGGAGAAATAACGACGGTCGCATCGTAGATTTGCGTATCGTACGTATCGATCTCCTTGTAATAACGCGACCAAGCGTAACGCGGAGTTGAAAGTTGGATATCAATGACATCGCCGTTCGCCAAGAATGCACTTCCATGATCCACGAAGCGACACCGGATGTTCTCATGAATTTGCGGCAAAATTCACTCGGCACTTGAAACCTGCTCCCAATATCGAAAAGGAGCGGAGCCGATTCGAAATGAACGGTGAATCGAAATTGTTTTCCTATATTCAATCGCAATAAAAATCTTTATTATCTTATTTGGATATCAGTCAGATCAGTTTCTTTTGATATTTACTTTACATCTACAACTTCTATTTAGAGTCACAAAATTCTATTGTGAAGATAATCAAAAACCTGTTTTTTAAACCTCAAGGTGGAAAAGTCTTTTTTTATCATTTCAGATGGAAAATATGAGATCAATTTATGTAAAGCGAATCTCTCTATTTCAATTCTCTAGAATCTACTTTAATATTATAATAAATTTAAATAATTCATATTATAAATTTTATAAATTAACATAAAAAATAGAAGTAAAATTTTCTAATAAGTCACCGAAGCTTATTAGACGAGACAAAGATCTAGATGAGCTTTGTGATTGTAGAAACGTAAGAGTCAATCTGTCTATGGTTTTCTCGATGACGTTATATATTGATACCATTACATTGTCTCTTTTAATATCGGGCTGCGATCTGTTTTTTAAAAATCTACCTGTATCTTATGTTTCCTATAAGTAGCACGCGTTCGAAAGTCTTGTGCAACAGACGCGCCCGAAACGTGCGGGCGCGTTATCGATTTTGTTGATACAGCATGGCTAAATGTGGAGGCGTTTGCCAAGGCGTTCCCACGGGGGTTTCGCGAAAAAGTTCACTTATCGCGAAAACCTGTTTCTGCGGACGGAAAAACGAAATGGAAGCCGCTCGGTTTCTAGGAACGGATGACAGTGCCGATTAAAAGCGGAATGAACTCCGCGAAGACTGCGTGATGCGTAACGCATCGCGAATTTACGGCCTATAACTTGTCCCTTATACTTCTTTCGTACTGGCCGTATGATAACGTATGCATATACGACGACTTTATAGTTCATCAAATCTCCAGTCCATCTCATAAGGCGACACTCGAATTGCGACTGCGGTCGTCATCGTATAATTCTCGCTTCGCTCGTAAAGAAGGACTTTGTTCCACAAAACACTCGAGAACTTTTGCTGAACGGGCAGTGCGCGGGTAGTTATGCTTGAATTTTGAATCTTGATATTCAAGATCTATCTTGATATTTCATCGGAATGGAAATACGAGTATAGGTCTCTCTCGGAACGCGAAGCTCCTGGGAAAAATAGAATTTTCAAATTATACGAAAAATGCACGGTAAGTTATACCACTCTGCTTGGATTTTTGTACGTATTCATATTTCATATTTTCTTTCATTTTTTTTTTTTTTTTTTTAAGGAGTACCGAGACAAAGATTTTGAAAGAAACATTTTATCTCGAAAATAAATTATGTGTGTGATGAATCATTTTATCGTGGACTTACGTGGAGCGAAGAAAATTGTATGGGAAATTTTACGGGCGGGCAAATGCCGACAAGTGTATAAAGATACATTGTGTGAGGGTGTATTCCCCAATACTGTCAGGACAGAAATTGCTGGCCGCAAGGGATGGCGGAGTAATTTACTCGGCCTTAGTCCTTCGACTGTATCCTCGAGCTAGTACGAGCTAATACGAGTAGTAGGTCGACGGAGATGCGTGGACGATCAGGTGAGGGTCATGGAAAGAAGCGAGGCGACTGAGCGAGGCCGACATCGACTTCTCTCGCGGCGCGAGGACGGTGCGAGTCGGGTCACGAACACCAGGGAAAACACAACGGGCGCGGGAGAGGGACAAAAAAAAAGAGAGAGATCGGTGGGCGCGGATGTAGGCGATAGGACAGGACGGGGAGGACGCGAGTGGAGGACACAGGACGGAGAGGGAGGGAGAGGGAGGCTGGTGTGTGTATCCATCGCGTCGAGGGTGGAGAAGGACCTGCGCGCAAATTTCCCGCGTTCGCCCTCAACCTCATATTGATCCCACCCCAGCGAACTCCCTCGTTCCAGCGGGAGGTGGAGGTGAAGGCGCGGGGTACAGGAGAGGAGGCCCGGCAAGGGTGGTTCGTCGGCGTATAATGCCGGACCGAGCGTGCGAGTGAGTGAGTGATCGTGCGAGCGAGCGAGCGAGTGAGCGAGCGGAAGAATCGCGGAGGGTGAATCGCAGAATCGCGAGCACTCCGAGGGTGGTCCAGCGCGCGCCGGAGTCGTCGTGCTCTCCGATCCGGGATTCGCGAATGTGTCTCTCCGTTTTCGCCGTCGCCGTCGCCGTCGCTGTCGCTGTCGCTGTCGCTGTCGCCGTCGCCGTCGCCGTGTGTGTCGTGGTGTCGCGCTCTCGTCGCGTTTAGCCTTACGAAGGAAATCAGCCCGGTTTTCCGCGGTTTACCGACGGTGCGCGTCGTCCGCAGCAACCGTCGTCCGGAGCTGTGTCGAAACGTGTTCGCGTGCGCGTGTGGTGGAAAGAAGTTTCGGGGAAGTTGTTGTCGACATGGGGAATTAGGGAGAGTCGGGCGGCAAAGGTGCACGAGTTTGCGGGATCGGTCGACGACACCGTTGTTCCCGTTGCTTCCCGCCCGGTTGTTTGTTGCAGCAGCTGGATAACTGCTGTAGCTTGTTGTTGCGGTTAACGAGATTTGTCTTTACACCTTCCACACGTCTCTTATTACATCGAGAAGGAGAGGAAGAAAAATATTACCGAGCAGATTTCATCAACCAGGACTGACCCCTGACTTCGCCGCCTCGATTTACGATCGACACCGCGACACGGCCTCGCGGGAAGCCATCGCCCGCGGGAAAGTGCACGGAGCGCGAGTGCGAAACCATTTACCGAGGTTCCTTCGTGCGCCTTTTTTTTCCTTCTATCCCATTGTATTCATTTTTATTACCACTTTACGTCGAAGACGTAAGGGAGAAAGTGCGTAAATCGAGTTCTGTAAAATCGAGTTCGCCGAGTCGGTTCCCGCACTCCTTCGAGCACTCCCCGAATGGACCCCGAGTGTTTAATTTGTGACTCACACGAGTCGATGAAGCTTCTCAGAACGTGAGACGGGAAATTATCTGTAATCTTGTTTAGATAAGAAGTACGTCATTATAAAAATTGCGTGTTTAACGTGTTTGAGATTCGATCGCGCGTGTACGTATGTATGTACACGTCTATGCAAATACGCAATTCATGTACAATACCGCATCCACTTGGTGACAAACCACGTTTGGTTGATTAAATTAATTGTCCAAGAGGCATGTGCCGCTTTGTACACAAACGGCACGCGTCTCTTGATTGACCTAGCAGCTGCAAATTAGTTCTGGAGCTGTACCCGTTATTGAGAAGCAGCATTATATACAGCAATGAGATTTCAATGACTCGTAATTCAACTTCGCAAGTAGTCGAGTGCGCCGTGTAATCGTTCGTAATCGCCAAATTAATCCCTATTAACGAAATAATAGCTACGACTTTTCGCTGATATGATCGTTTGGCAGATTGTACGTGTTATTATTGCGATTACGTTAACATTTCGAGTGGCTTTTTGACTCGGAAATATTTTTCACGTGTGCACGCAGCTTTGCACATATCGGCCCGATTGCACGTGCGATCGCGTGCGGCGGACTCGCGTTGCCGACAATCCGCGACGATCTACTAACGATCCACAATGTCTATAACGATCGCGTCGCAGCCGCAACACGCTCGAAACAATCTCCGCGGCCTCGTTGGCGGCCAGAAAAAATCAATACGTTCACACACACACACACACACACACACACACACACACACACACACACACACACACACACACGCGCGCGCGCGTG